GGGGTCCGGGGAGAGCGGATATAGTGAATGCGGGGGTCCGGGGAGAGCGGATATAGTGAATGCGGGGTCCGGGGAGAGCGGATATAGTGAATGCGGGGTCCGGGGAGAGCGGATATAGTGAATGCGGGGTCCGGGGAGAGCGGATATAGTGAATGCGGGGTCCGGGGAGAGCGGATATATAGTGAATGCGGGGTCCGGGGAGAGCGGATATAGTGAATGCGGGGTCCGGGGAGAGCGGATATATAGTGAATGCGGGGTCCGGGGAGAGCGGATATAGTGAATGCGGGGTCCGGGGAGAGCGGATATAGTGAATGCGGGGTCCGGGGAGAGCGGATATAGTGAATGCGGGGTCCGGGGAGAGCGGATATAGTGAATGCGGGGTCCGGGGAGAGCGGATATAGTGAATGCGGGGTCCGGGGAGAGCGGATATAGTGAATGCGGGGTCCGGGGAGAGCGGATATAGTGAATGCGGGGGTCCGGGGAGAGCGGATATAGTGAATGCGGGGTCCGGGGAGAGCGGATATAGTGAATGCGGGGTCCGGGGGAGAGCGGATATAGTGAATGCGGGGTCCGGGGAGAGCGGATATATAGTGAATGCGGGGTCCGGGGAGAGCGGATATAGTGAATGCGGGGTCCGGGGAGAGCGGATATAGTGAATGCGGGGTCCGGGGAGAGCGGATATAGTGAATGCGGGGGGTCCGGGAGAGCGGGATATAGTGAATGCGGGGTCCGGGGAGAGAGCGGATATAGTGAATGCGGGGTCCGGGGAGAGCGGATATAGTGAATGCGGGGTCCGGGGAGAGCGGATATATAGTGAATGCGGGGTCCGGGGAGAGCGGATATAGTGAATGCGGGGTCCGGGGAGAGCGGATATAGTGAATGCGGGGTCCGGGGAGAGCGGATATAGTGAATGCGGGGTCCGGGGGAGAGCGGATATAGTGAATGCGGGGGTCCGGGGAGAGCGGATATAGTGAATGCGGGGTCCGGGGAGAGCGGATATAGTGAATGCGGGGTCCGGGGAGAGCGGATATAGTGAATGCGGGGTCCGGGGAGAGCGGATATAGTGAATGCGGGGTCCGGGGAGAGAGAGAGATATATAGTGAATGCGGGGTCCGGGGAGAGCGGATATAGTGAATGCGGGGTCCGGGGAGAGCGGATATAGTGAATGCGGGGTCCGGGGAGAGCGGATATATGAGTGAATGCGGGGTCCGGGGAGAGCGGATATAGTGAATGCGGGGTCCGGGGAGAGCGGATATAGTGAATGCGGGGTCCGGGAGAGAGCGGATATAGTGAATGCGGGGTCCGGGGAGAGCGGATATAGTGAATGCGGGGTCCGGGGAGAGCGGATATAGTGAAATGCGGGGTCCGGGGAGAGCGGATATAGTGAATGCGGGGTCCGGGGAGAGCGGATATAGTGAATGCGGGGTCCGGGGGGAGAGCGGATATAGTGAATGCGGGGTCCGGGGAGAGCGGATATAGTGAATGCGGGGTCCGGGGAGAGCGGATATAGTGAATGCGGGGTCCGGGGGAGAGCGGATATAGTGAATGCGGGGTCCGGGGAGAGCGGATATAGTGAATGCGGGGTCCGGGGAGCGGATATAGTGAATGCGGGGTCCGGGGAGAGCGGATATAGTGAATGCGGGGTCCGGGGAGAGCGGATATAGTGAATGCGCGGGGTCCGGGGAGAGCGGATATAGTGAATGCGGGGTCCGGGGAGAGCGGATATAGTGAATGCGGGGTCCGGGGAGAGCGGATATAGTGAATGCGGGGTCCGGGGAGAGCGGATATAGTGAATGCGGGGTCCGGGGAGAGCGGATATAGTGAATGCGGGGTCCGGGGAGAGCGGATATAGTGAATGCGGGGTCCGGGGAGAGCGGATATAGTGAATGCGGGGTCCGGGGAGAGCGGATATAGTGAATGCGGGGTCCGGGGAGAGCGGATATAGTGAATGCGGGGTCCGGGGAGAGCGGATATAGTGAATGCGGGGTCCGGGGAGAGCGGATATAGTGAATGCGGGGTCCGGGGAGAGCGGATATATAGTGAATGCGGGGTCCGGGGAGAGCGGATATAGTGAATGCGGGGTCCGGGGAGAGCGGGATATAGTGAATGCGGGGTCCGGGGAGAGCGGATATAGTGAATGCGGGGTCCGGGGAGAGCGGATATAGTGAATGCGGGGTCCGGGGAGAGCGGATATAGTGAATGCGGGGTCCGGGGAGAGCGGATATAGTGAATGCGGGGTCCGGGGAGAGCGGATATAGTGAATGCGGGGTCCGGGGAGAGCGGATATAGTGAATGCGGGGTCCGGGGAGAGCGGATATAGTGAATGCGGGGTCCGGGGAGAGCGGATATAGTGAATGCGGGGTCCGGGGAGAGCGGATATAGTGAATGCGGGGTCCGGGGAGAGCGGATATAGTGAATGCGGGGTCCGGGGAGAGAGCGGATATATAGTGAATGCGGGGTCCGGGGAGAGCGGATATAGTGAATGCGGGGTCCGGGGAGAGAGCGGATATAGTGAATGCGGGGTCCGGGGAGAGCGGATATAGTGAATGCGGGGGTCCGGGGAGAGCGGATATAGTGAATGCGGGGTCCGGGGAGAGCGGATATAGTAAATGCGGGGTCCGGGGAGAGCGGATATAGTGAATGCGGGGTCCGGGGAGAGCGGATATAGTGAATGCGGGGTCCGGGGAGAGCGGATATAGTGAATGCGGGGTCCGGGGAGAGAGCGGATATAGTGAATGCGGGGTCCGGGGAGAGCGGATATAGTGAATGCGGGGTCCGGGGAGAGCGGATATAGTGAATGCGGGGTCCGGGGAGAGCGGATATAGTGAATGCGGGGTCCGGGGAGAGCGGATATAGTGAATGCGGGGTCCGGGGAGAGCGGATATAGTGAATGCGGGGTCCGGGGAGAGCGGCGGATATAGTGAATGCGGGGTCCGGGGAGAGCGGATATAGTGAATGCGGGGTCCGGGGAGAGCGGATATAGTGAATGCGGGGTCCGGGGAGAGCGGATATAGTGAATGCGGGGTCCGGGGAGAGCGGATATAGTGAATGCGGGGTCCGGGGAGAGCGGATATAGTGAATGCGGGGTCCGGGGAGAGCGGATATAGTGAATGCGGGGTCCGGGGAGAGCGGATATAGTGAATGCGGGGTCCGGGGAGAGCGGATATAGTGAATGCGGGGTCCGGGGAGAGCGGATATAGTGAATGCGGGGTCCGGGGAGAGCGGATATAGTGAATGCGGGGTCCGGGGGAGAGAGCGGATATAGTGAATGCGGGGTCCGGGGAGAGCGGATATAGTGAATGCGGGGTCCGGGGAGAGCGGATATAGTGAATGCGGGGTCCGGGGAGAGCGGATATAGTGAATGCGGGGTCCGGGGAGAGCGGATATAGTGAATGCGGGGTCCGGGGAGAGCGGATATAGTGAATGCGGGGTCCGGGGAGAGCGGATATAGTGAATGCGGGGTCCGGGGAGAGCGGATATAGTGAATGCGGGGTCCGGGGAGAGCGGATATAGTGAATGCGGGGTCCGGGGAGAGCGGATATAGTGAATGCGGGGTCCGGGGAGAGCGGATATAGTGAATGCGGGGGTCGGGGAGAGAGCGGATATAGTGAATGCGGGGTCCGGGGAGAGCGGATATAGTGAATGCGGGGTCCGGGGAGAGAGCGGATATAGTGAATGCGGGGTCCGGGAGAGCGGATATAGTGAATGCGGGGTCCGGGGAGAGCGGATATAGTGAATGCGGGGTCCGGGGAGAGCGGATATAGTGAATGCGGGGTCCGGGGAGAGCGGATATAGTGAATGCGGGGTCCGGGGAGAGCGGATATAGTGAATGCGGGGTCCGGGGAGAGCGGATATAGTGAATGCGGGGTCCGGGGAGAGCGGATATAGTGAATGCGGGGTCCGGGGAGAGCGGATATAGTGAATGCGGGGTCCGGGGAGAGCGGATATAGTGAATGCGGGGTCCGGGGAGAGCGGATATAGTGAATGCGGGGTCCGGGGAGAGCGGATATAGTGAATGCGGGGTCCGGGGAGAGCGGATATAGTGAATGCGGGGTCCGGGGAGAGCGGATATAGTGAATGCGGGGTCCGGGGAGAGCGGATATAGTGAATGCGGGGTCCGGGGAGAGCGGATATAGTGAATGCGGGGTCCGGGGAGAGCGGATATAGTGAATGCGGGGTCCGGGGGAGAGCGGATATAGTGAATGCGGGGTCCGGGGAGAGCGGATATAGTGAATGCGGGGTCCGGGGGGGAGAGCGGATATAGTGAATGCGGGGTCCGGGGAGAGCGGATATAGTGAATGCGGGGTCCGGGGAGAGCGGATATAGTGAATGCGGGGTCCGGGGAGAGCGGATATAGTGAATGCGGGGTCCGGGGAGCGGAGAGCGGATATAGTGAATGCGGGGTCCGGGGAGAGCGGATATAGTGAATGCGGGGTCCGGGGAGAGCGGATATAGTGAAATGCGGGGTCCGGGGAGAGCGGATATAGTGAATGCGGGGTCCGGGGGAGCGGATATAGTGAATGCGGGGTCCGGGGAGAGCGGATATAGTGAATGCGGGGTCCGGGGAGAGCGATATAGTGAATGCGGGGTCCGGGGAGAGCGGATATATAGTGAATGCGGGGTCCGGGGAGAGCGGATATAGTGAATGCGGGGTCCGGGGAGAGCGGATATAGTGAATGCGGGGTCCGGGGAGAGCGGATATAGTGAATGCGGGGTCCGGGGAGAGCGGATATAGTGAATGCGCCGGGTCTTGGGGAGAGCGATATAGTGAATGCGGGGTCTTGGAGGACCAGATATAGTGAATGGTCTGGGGTCCAGGGAGTGAACGCGGACCTGGAGGACCAGATATAGAATGCCGGGGTCCGGGAGGAGCAGATATAGTGAATGCGGGGTCCAGGGGAGAGCGGATATATAGAATGCGGGGTCCGGGGGAGAGCGGATATAGAATGCGGGGTCCGGGAGAGCGGATATAGTGAATGCGGGGGATCCGTCCGGGAGAGCCAGATATAGTGAATGCGGGGTCCGGGAGGACCTGATATAGTGAATGCGGGGTCCGGGGAGAGCGGATATAGTGAATGCGGGTCCGGGGAGAGCGGATATAGTGAATGCGGGGTCCGGGGAGAGCGCATATAGTGAATGCGGGGTCCGGGGAGAGCGGATATGGTGAATGCGGGGTCCGGGGAGAGCGGATATAGTGAATGCGGGGTCCGGGGGAGAGCGGATATAGTGAATGCGGGGGTCCGGGGGAGAGCGGATATAGTGAATGCGGGGTCCGGGGGAGAGGGATATATAGTGAATGCGGGGTCCGGGGAGAGCGGATATAGTGAATGCGGGGTCCGGGGAGAGCGGATATAGTGAATGCGGGGTCCGGGGAGAGCGGATATACTGAATGCGGGGTCCGGGGAGAAGCGGATATAGTGAATGCGGGGTCCGGGGAAAGCGGATATAGTGAATGCGGGGTCCGGGGAGAGGGGATATAGTGAATGCGGGGTCCGGGGAGAGCGGATATAGTGAATGCGGGGTCTGGGGAGAGCGGGATATAGTGAATGCGGGGTCTGGGGAGAGCGGATAGGGAATGCGGGGTCTGGGGAGAGCGGATATAGGGAATGCGGGGTCTGGGGAGAGCGGATATAGTGAATGCGGGGTCCGGGGAGAGCGGATATAGTGAACGCAGTGTCATATGGTGGTCCGCTTCCACTTGGCCTCCTTCATGAGGGCAGCCCCGACTGCATCATTACACTGGTTAGGACCCCTCGGTGAGCAGCTCCATGTCGCCCCTGATGCTGAGTACTAGGACATCTGGTGGCCATATTAACTACTCTGGGGACATCTCCATAGAGGAGGTAAGTATTGCAGCCAGAGCTGCTTTTTCCTTTTTAACCCACCTGGGGCCCCATTAAAATAAACTGACCCCAGAATTGGACTTTATCTTCCCTCTACACGGTTTGCAGTGCCTCAGTGAGTGCTGAAGCCAAGGCATCGACGTGGCAGATACATTCTATATCGTCTAATGTAATAAATAAAATCTGCACCTGCCCCGTAACATCCAATGCGGAGATCATCTCGAGATGCTAACGATGACAGCAGTGGAGGAAAGGGTTAAAGGACGTGACATGGCGAGGTGTCGGATGAATTAGGACCGCGGTGTGGCCCCTCCCGGGTGGGTGAACGGCTCCACCTGTCGCAGTTTACAGCATGAGAAAATAGGCAGGAATGAGCAGAATCCTGGCCGCTGAGACCCAATCCCACCAACTGCGGTAAGGGAGAAGCCGCTAATGATTGCTGCTCGCTACAGGGATTATATCATTGCCTCCCCCCCTCCTCTAGAGGATGAGAAGTGTCCTACAGAAACAGGGGAAGACCTGCAGCACTGACACCCGACCGGGAGGGGGTGTCAGTGCTGCAGGTCCTGTAAACACAATGTGCCACGTTTAAAGGGGACACTCTCACTGTTCTCATTCAGGGTAAAGTATCAGAATGTGCTGAGAGCCCAGCGCCCCAGGAAGTTCTATTCACACGTGTATCCCTTCCCACTCCCGGCACAGCTCTCCCCCAAGCACAGCTCCTCCCGACACAGCTCTCCCACCCCCCGCACAGCTCCTCCCGACACAGCTCTCCCCCCGGCAGCTTCCCCCAAGCACAGCTCCTCCCGACACAGGCCCCTGGCACAGCTCCTCCCGACACAGCTCTCCCCCAGGCACAGCTTCCCCCAGGCACGGCTCACCCCCAGGCACGGCTCACCCCCCGGCACAGCTTCCCCCAGGCACGGCACCCCCAAGCACAGCTCCTCCCCCGACACAGCTCTCCCCCCCGGCACAGCTCCTCCCGACACAGCTCTCCCCCCGGCACAGCTTCCCCCAGGCACGGCTCACCCCCAGGCACGGCTCACCCCCGGCACGGCTCACCCCCCGGCACGGCTCACCCCCGGCACAGCTCCTCCCGACACAGCTCTCCCCCCGGCACAGCTTCCCCCCCACGGCTCACCCCCCGGCACACGCTCCCTCCCGACACAGCTCTCCCCCGGCACAGCTCCTCCCCGACACAGCTCTCCCCCCAGGCACGGCTCACCCCCCGGCACGGCTCACCCCCCGGCACGCTCCCCCCCCCCCCCCGGCACGGCTCCCCCCCCGGCACACCTCTCGCTCCTTCCCTATAATGGAGTCAGGATTGGGCCGTTGGCAGAGTAGGTGACACAAGATGGAGTTTGGTGGTGTGTGGACAAGTCCGTATACCTTGCATGGGGGGCTATCAAGAGGCATCACCGCTCCACCCTGAGTAAGTACTGTGATGGGGTCTCTCTAAATTGGCCATATTTGTAGGGTGACTATTAGGTTTCCAGGAATCATGTTACAGTACCTCCAAGGGCCATCCTGCCCACGTACTGACACATTCCCTGGTCTCGTGGACTTTTGGCTGTGGCTGGGTGCGCACTAGACTGCACATATGGTCATTGAAGGATGGGCACGCCTTGGGTTAGGGGCACACATACATGTCAAGTCTGTAACTTATGGCGGCTGGTGCCGTGGCTTCTTGGCAGCTAGTCTGACTTCTGCTTTTTTGTGCTGTTGGCCCAGACTGCCTGGCTCTGCTGTCCCTGTTGCCGAATCTGCCAGTTCTTGACTATCCATGACTGCTGCCTGCCTTGACCTCCACTGGGAAAATGACTATTCTTTGCTGCCTGCCTTGACCTTTGTCTGGAAACTGACAATTCTTACTTGCTGCCTGTCTCAACAGCTGCCTGGAAACAGATTATCCTTGCCTTTTGCCTGTGTTGACCTCTGCGTGGAAACTGACTATCCCTGCCTGCAGCCTGTCTCAACCTCTGACTGGAAGATGATTATCCTTGCTTGCTGCCTACTTTGACCACTGCCTGGAAACTGACTATCCCTGCCTGCAGCCTGTCTTGACCTCTGTCTGGAAAATTACTAGCCTTGCTTGCTGCCTGCTTCGACTGCTGCTTGAAAACGGACTTTCCTTGACTACTGCCTCTCTCAACCTCTGCCTGCAAACTAACTATTACTGCCTGCTGTCTGTCACGACTTTTGTCTGGAAACTATCCTTGCTTGCTGCCTGCCTCCACCTGTGTCTGGAAACTGACAATCCATGCCTGCTTCTTGTTTCAGCCTATGCCTGGAAATGGACTATCCCTGCCTGCCACCTGTCTCCAACCTCTAACTATTCTTGCCTGCTGCCTGTCTTGATCTTTACCTGAACCATCCCAATCTGCATGTCCCCATTTTGTCTCCTCATCCTAGCTTCCCTGCCCGTTAGCACCTGGTGGAGCAATCTTGAAGGACATGACCTTTGCAGCAAAGTAGCCCGGTGGCCACCGGCACATCATCCTTTACAGGGTGAAGACTGTAGGTAGTCAGGTAGAAGGTGTCACTTAGCCTCTGAGTTTCGGGTGAGCCTGCATCCTGTCTGGGGTAATTCTGGTATCAGACTTGTTTCCATCTCTCCTGGATGTCAGTGCTGTGGTCCCGCCCCCGCTTATGTAGGACAGTTCTTGTCCTCCTATTAGTCTGCCTATAGGAAAGTTAAAGCTTTCATTTCTTTCCCTTTGGAGTCTATGAGATGGCAGATGGCAATGCACACTCCATGTAGCTGACATCTAATCCCAACCATTGGTAAGTCACCGAGAGCTCCCTTTAGTGGATAATCTACAAATCACTCTGTTTGGAATGTGTTGGGAGCAGTGTAGAGACCACCCCTATACAGTACAAGAGACTGCTAGAGGCCACTTCCAAGAAACAAGAGGCTGCTGGAGGCCACTTCCAAGAAACAAGGAGGCTTCTGGAGGCCACTTCCAAGAAACAAGAAGGCTGTTGAATGCCACTTCCAAGAAACAAGAGGCTGCTGGAGGCCACTTCCAAGAAACAAGAGGCTGCTGGAGGCCACTTCCAAGAAACAAGAGGCTGCTGGAGGCCACTTCCAAGAAACAAGAGGCTGCTGGAGGCCACTTCCAAGAAACAAGAGGCTGTTGGAGGCCACTTCCAAGAAACAAGAGGCTGTTGGAGGCCACTTCCAAGAAACAAGAGGCTGTTGGAGGCCACTTCCAAGAAACAAGAGGCTGTTGGAGGCCACTTCCAAGAAACAAGAGGCTGTTGGAGGCCACTTCCAAGAAACAAGAGGCTGTTGGAGGCCACTTCCAAGAAACAAGAGGCTGTTGGAGGCCACTTCCAAGAAACAAGAGGCTGTTGGAGGCCACTTCCAAGAAACAAGAGGCTGTTGGAGGCCACTTCCAAGAAACAAGAGGCTGCTGGAGGCCACTTCCAAGAAACAAGAGGCTGCTGGAGGCCACTTCCAAGAAACAAGAGGCTGTTGGAGGCCACTTCCAAGAAACAAGAGGCTGTTGGAGGCCACTTCCAAGAAACAAGAGGCTGTTGGAGGCCACTTCCAAGAAACAAGAGGCTGTTGGAGGCCACTTCCAAGAAACAAGAGGCTGCTGAAGGCCACTTTCAAGAAACAAGAAGCTGTTGGAGGCCACTTCCAAGAAACAAGAAGCTGTTGGAGGCCACTTCCAAGAAACAAGAAGCTGTTGGAGGCCACTTCCAAGAAACAAGAGGCTGCTGGAGGCCCAGAAGCACTGGATACTGAAGATCCTAGTTCTAAAAGCTGCGTCAGGGGAGGTTGTCAGCGAGAGCGTCTCTTTAAAATGCAAGTTCACCTTTTCAGAAGGATTGAAGCTGAATAAATACCCTACACCTCCCCTCCCCCACACCCTGATGTACTTACCTCTTCTGTGGGTGAGGAGCTGTTGGTGCCCACACAGCTGCTGAAGCGGTCCAGGGATTTGGAATCCCCGATCTTCTCCCTCTTCTTTCTGTAGGGCTTCCAGGATGGATCAAAGCGATTCTGATTGGTCAAAGTGGTTATTTGCTGGTTAACCAATCAGAATCTCTCTGATAAGTCCTGGAAACCCTCCATAATGGAGGAGGGAGAAAAGCAGGGACTTCAAATCCCAGAACTGCTACACTAGCTGTGTGGCCAGCGACAGCACATCACCCGCAGAGGTAAGTACATCAGGGCCCCG